ATCTTTGTGTTAAAGATCTTGTATAGTGAAATATTTTTGTACACTAATGTGTCTGCAGCTTTGCTGAATATAAAGACTTAAAAAGTGCAGGGCTGAGATGCAGCATATGAAGTTAAACCAAACTTAACTTCAGAGATGCTGGATGAACTATTACTTTAGGAAATATAATTAAGCAAGCTGTTCCCAGTCTTTATGGTGAGCAAATCTAACAAACTGCTGCTTAAAATAATTACATAATTACAAATGCAAAGGCTTAATGGTTGTACAATTCTCAAAATGTATTTGTGTGCACACCTACTATAAAATTTATATACTGACTAGAAAAATCACGTGAACGTCCCCTGAGGTCGGAACAACAACACAGAAAGTCTGAAAAGACATCTTGTGCATCTCTGCAACCCCAGGCACATCTCACAGAAAGGCATAATTTGACACCCTGGGGTGAGGAAGTGTTGTAAAAGCACATGAACACACAGAACTCTGAAAAATGACTTCCAAACTCCAAAAATTGGACCACCTGAGGAGCACTTGAATGCACAAATAAGAGGTGCTATGTTTTATTGTGCTGTAACTTTGGACCATCGTCAGTGTGGGTAACCAGCCCAGTGTTGTTAAACACAACCATTTTATGACATTGTATTATGTAAATGCCAGGCACTCTTTTAATAATTTGGTATTTCTTTAAGTGCAACTAGTACATCAAATGCTCATGATTTATCACATCTGACAACACCATAAATATGTGGAAAGCAGCAAATAAATATTCACAAATCCAATGGCTCATCATCAAACCAATAAGTTAAGACATGATGGACCAATTAATGGCAATGCAAAATGCTTGTCCTGGACTCTCTGGATCTCAGTACTTTAAAAAATTATATATAGATATACATAACATATATATTTCAGTCAGTGAAATGCTAAGTGAGCAAGCACGCACAACTCCAGAGTGGTCCTTCAAAAGTTTCCAGCATAGACTGCTCCTGCTGCTTGCTGCACAGAACTATTTCACATATGTTAGCGATTTCCCAAATCCAGTGTTTCCACAGCTGTCTCTATTGAGGTTTCTCATGTCATGAGCCCATTGCTCAAAAGTTGTCTTCCATAATGATGAAAAACACCCATCACTTGACAACTGGTCATTAGTGGTTCCTGGAGGCTGTTGGGTGTAATTGAAAGCAAAGATTTTTTTTTCTCTAATACGTCTCTAATTCACTTCTCTTGCTGACCATTGTACAGCTGTACAATATGAATTTCCCCAGTGTGGGATAAATACAGTCTATTTCTATGTCTAAACAAGGAGTTTCAGCACTGCAGCCCACATTTTTTAAAAGGCACAACTCATACTTTGCAGACACACAGTCGCCACTTTTTTTCACAGTTTTTACTTGAGATAAAAGCCCCTTTTCCATTAGAACCTACTCGGATCGACTTGCCATGGTTCACCACGGTTTTCAGGGTCTTCTCTTAGTTCATAGTATCTGGACCAGGTACTAACATAGTACCTGCTTGGCCAGGGTTCATAGTGAACCGAGCTTTTGCTAAAATGTGACGTGGTCAGACTGCATGCCGCCAATTGGCTAGTCAGGGGCATCGCTCAATGAGTCATGATAGCATCCCATTCACGAAAATCAAAAACACTTATTTTGAAACCTGGTAACGAGGGGAAATGGCTACAAAAAACAATGCCATGGTCCCCAAGTCTGATGAAAAGCCACAGACTGAACAGCAGGTATATTCTTGCCTCGATGTCCACCTTTGTTATAGCATTCATTTCATACATTAACCGTGTATTTATCAACGCTCCGCCCAGTTTCTATAACAATGACCATGCACATTAGGTGGTACTCAGTTGTAATGGAAAACCAGTCGATCCGAGTCAAGACGTGGGCGAGTCGTGGTGAGTCAATCCGAGTAGGTATTAATGGGAAAACGGGTTAACTAGACAACGTCTGTAGACAAATCACTTTCATTCAAATGATGACCATAGCAGCATGCTAGCAGCGAAAGCAATCACAAGGTTGGGGAATACACATTTTTCCCTAGAAACTGGGGGTTGCTAGGTGGTTACTGACCTATCTATAGGCCTGTTTAACCTCCAGCAAACACTTTTAACTCGTTGGGAAATAAACTTTTTTCCTTCTAACTGGTAATTGCCAGGTAGTTATTGACTGGCCTCTAGGCCAGTTTTTCTTGAATTTTGTGTTTTAGTGGATTTAGTAATTTCCTTTTGATCAATTTGCTACTGTGTTACTGTCACCGCTGCAACTTGACACCTTTCCTGAAACCTGGTTTGGTGGCTTTATTAGGTGGGGTCAGTGTTAGCCTAGCTCCTTGTTTTGTTTTCAGCCTGCTTGCTAAGTGCTTGCTAAGTGCTTGCTACCTTCAACAGCTGTTAAGCACTATTATGACAGTGTCTTGACACTGCCTGCCAGCATACACACAGTTAAAAGATGACCTCCGCCAGGTAAAGCAGGAACTGGAGAAAAAGGATGAGCTAACCATGGAGTTCTCATCTGTCATCACTACACAAGCTAAGCACTTAGCTTCTCTACACTCCTCCTGCTGCAGAACCAACTGCTTTTCCACGCATTTCCTCACTGTGACACCATACTCCCCTTCTGTCCAGTTCTGTTTCTACTGGAGGTAACCCTGTCATATACTATCAGGTCAGTTGAATCTGTGGTTTGTCTTATATGACAGTTAAAACCTAATTTTTTATAGTATAACATTTCCTTAATCTTTTCCCATTATTTTTGGTTCTTGTTCTTCTAATGTGTGTATGCAGGAGTGAATGTACTGTAAGATGTTTGCCTGTGTTTGGACTTGTACATTACATCCTGTTTCATCCAAACTAGGAATTTTGTAACTGCATTTTTTAAATGAAATAATCATTGTTGTTATTATTATTAACATTGCTGTTAGTATCATTATTAGCATTACTATTAGCATTATTATTAGCATTATTACTGCAATGTCACCATGCTCACACACTCAAAATGGCAGACAAATTAACATCTGAGGTTTGCTGTCATGTGTCTGCAAATGCTAAATATGATTCCACAACATTTTTGCTCAGTCATTAACTCAGGGCCAGCTCTGTCCCCAGGTTTTCCTCTTTCCTCTGTGGCACCGTGACATCCCTACAAATCAACCACCATCGGAGACGGTCCAAGAAAGAGCACGCTGTGTTTCAAATGAGAAATGTGTGCTGTACCATCCTTAAACTGCAGCCACAACTGCTTCTGAAATCAGTATAATGCATCCTGATACATTTCCTCCTCACTCACCTGTGCTCATTCTGGTAACCTGTTCTTAGAGAGGGGTTGTTGAATTAATGTCATCAGCATGTTCAGCTCCAAGGACTGATTCATTTTTCCCCTTCCTTTTCCTTTGTGAAACATTTTCTTCATTAATGATCTCTGAAATCATACAGAAGAGATGTTGCCACTAGAAGCAGGCAGCCCGAGCCCCCCATGAGTCCGAATTGTGATCTGAGTGATGCTTCTCTTAGCTGGTGTGAGATGACTTTGATTGTGGCACTTCCACAGCCACCTCCGCAGCTCTGTTTGGACCTGCAAACAAATAGAAATTGCAGAAAGTTACAGATGCCTAGGCTTTTTGTTCACCTGTTGAGCAAAATGGTTAATGTCTCTGCAATGCTGCCATTTACCCATACCAAAAAATGTGTTTGAGGTTTTCACTCCAAAGAATAGCTCTTACCTCAGGGCAGCTATTTATGATAAATGTTTGTATGACTTTTTTTTATTACACAAGCTTCCCCTCCATTTGCCTACCTCTCCATTCATGAAACAGTAAAGAAGCGCCACCACAAACCCCTGCAACATAAAAGACATCTGTTTCAAGATAAAATCATAAGAGTAAGAACTGATTGCATGTACAGTCCGCTTAAGGGAAAACAGTGACTTGTGTTGCTAACACTTAATTGCACAAAGCATCACAATAACTTCAGAGAACAAACAAGCAAAACAGGATGAAGCTGCAGGCTTTGAAGAAGTCATTCGGTTGCTGATTTATTGTTGTTTGTTAATTCATTTTGTCATGTTTATGGGATACATTTTGTGCTGCATAAATGTCAACATTCCACATAGTTATAGTCTTACACATGCACAAATATTATGGAGTGGTTATTTATGACCGTGATTATTTCAGCCAGCAAGGGCTGCCACTCTTAGGGGTCGCCATAACAGATCATCTGCTTCCATTTCTCCTAGTATCTAGTATTCCTAGTATCCTCTTCTGCCACATATTCATATGAATGTACTCTTCCTACATATGCCCAAACCATCTCAACCTTGTGTCTCTATCGCTCAAGCCCTCCTTCTGATATTCTCATTTCTAATCGTGTCCATCCTGGTCACTCCCAATGAAAATCTTAACATCCTCAACATTGCCACTTTCAGGATCAGCTCCTGTGTTTTTGTCAGTGCCACCATATCCCAACCAAACATCACAGCAGGTCTCATTAACATTTTGTAAACCCTCCCTTTTACTTTGGCTGCTATCCTTCTGTCACAATCATCCCAACACTCATCTCCACCAACTCCACCCTGACTGCACTCTCCTCTTCACTTCTGCTGTGCACCCTGTATTCTGTCTTGTATCTACTGACTTTCATTCCTTTTTTAACTTGTCCATCACCACTGCATACAAGAAGGTCCTCAGAGCTGATCCCTAATGTAGTCCTACTCCCACCTTGAACTCATCTGTGTCTCTGTCTCCTACTGCACCTCAGTGATATACTCATACAATACCACAGTTCCTCCAAGCACACAATCAATGACTTCTCTAGATCCATGAACACACAGTGAAGCTCCTTCTGGCCTTCTCTATATTTCTCTATCAACTCTCTCAAATATCTTATCTGTAGTGTTGTCTGTGAAGGTTCTCAGTCATCCAGATCATTGCAGTCTAAGGAGCTTGGTGAGAAAAGTGTCTGGACTATACAGCTGTCATCCAAGAAACTTCCGAGAGTGCCAGACCCTCTTGGGGACATTCCCGTAGGGCTTAAAATCTGGGACTCTCCACCAGTTGCTCTTTGAACTGAAGAAGCTTCTTAGATGAGAGGTGAAACGTCTTCAGTCCAGATGCTTTTCTTTCCAAGTTCTGTAGTGTTACTTCTTGGCATGAACCCATACTGCTGCTAACTGATATCACCTCTCTCCTTAACCTAGCTCCATGAACTACAACTGAATGTCTACATGGGATCACTCATCAGCTTTATCCCTCTGTTACCTCCTGTTTTAACTTTGCGCATAATCTTGATAAATTGGAAGATACAATAGGATATCAGTGTGCGCAGGTTTCTCTAAAATATAATAATCGAGTTGAGAATTCAGTGAATTTTAGAGGGACAGGTGCTGGAACAGACTGAGGGATGGATGGCAGACACCTCACCATCACATAAGTTCATCTGGCCTTCAGCTGACGAGCTTTAGTTATTATTGTGCATGCACAGGTATAAATATCAATTCCACGATGATTCAGATTTGTAACACCTGTGCTTCTAATGTGACAAGGAAATAAATCTGCTGGGAAGAATTTCAACTTGAGAAATGTGAGTTATTTATTTTTAGCAATTCTTTCTGAACTGTGATTCTGAAGTTTTATACCTGAAAGGAGCCCAGTCCCAGCTCGATGTAGAGTCTGGCTGCTACTCCAGTGTTCTCAGGCAGGAAGGCAAATACAGTGTAGTGCATCCCAAACAGAGGAATCAGGAACAGGGTGGATTTTGCCAGCCTCCTGAGTGAAGCAAAAAGAAAGGACTGAAAAATAAAAAATAAGTCCAGATAATGATGCAACACTTTGAAAGATTACAGTGTGTTACCAGTATGGTCAGCTACTTTCAGTCATGTCAGAGGTACAAGTTTCAAATGCCAGACAGACTAAATGCGTCATTCAGGTTTCATCAAAGCTACAATGGTGGTGTCAGATTTTCATTACACTGACCTTTAAAACAACATCGTCATCAGGCCAATCAGTGGAAAAGATTAAAATGTCAAAACACAAAACCTGAACACATTGTGCTTAGTTCAGCTCATATCACTGATGTCTAAATATCATGTAAATGTTGCCATTTAATTTCTTATGACATTTTGTTGAAACGGTTTCCCACAAGTAATGCGGTTTGAAAAGAGCAACTCAACATCTGCTTCATCATCAAAAGACACTGAGATAAGTATCATGTTTATGCTCTTCATCATTTACTTTTCTGTATATCCTATTGAGATTGGAAAACCTAGCTGGGTACAGATCCACTCACAACAGTATCCAGTTCATCAGAGATCAACAGACAGCTGTTATCCTAACAACTGACATGTGTGTGTTTTTTATTCTCACTTTAGTTTCCTCAGTGACACTCTCACATGTATGAGGATGTTGCAGTATATGTTTTAGTCATCTAGATAGTCAGATTAAACCATAAAATAGCTCTAATCAGAAATATTATCACAGCTTCAACTGCTTAAAGATTAAAGATGGAGGGGAGCTATCAGCTTATTTCAGGTGAATAATTTGTGCCTTTGTGTGAACACCAAGGTTCCTCCTGAATTAAATTTAAGTTCCTACGACAGGCGGGGCTTTTAATCCTGTGAAACATTCATTGAACTGGTGGAACAATCCTGTCGCACGTCAAAGTAGGTAACATCTATTTCTGGAATCTGGAGCTATTTTTATATGCTCTCATTCTAAATTAATTCAGCTGAGCACAAATGTGCACCAGCCAGATGTCAAGAGAAAGAAGGATTCTTTCAGGTGAAGCAGGGTTTCACTGCTGCTGCAGTAGATTCATGTATGCATATATTATATTAAAGTGTAAGAAGCCATTCAAACTTTTGTCAAGGGATTTAAACAGCTCCCCCTCACCTTTTCTTCTTACATACTACTGCCTCAGTTAGCAGTTTCCACTTAACACCCAGCAAAAGGTTTACATGTTAAAATAAATTACTATTTATCCAACTGAATTATAAAGAGTTTAGTGCAAGAAAATGATTTAAAGCTCAGCTTTATTAATGCTGAACCACTTTTCTCTGCATATGATGTTTTTAACTCACACCTGAGCTATAGGTTCCCATAAGTAAAGCCCAAAATTATCTCATGTATCCACTTGTTGGTGTTAGACACTTGTAACGTTGATCTTCATTATGGTACCATGATGGTACAGTTCTGCTAATAGCAAGTGAGCAAGTCATGGAGTTCTTGGGATGTATCATTGCAAATCGGGGCGGAAAAAAATATGATATTGTGAGAAATTTTTATTTCTGGGATTTCACATTGCCGATGGATCTATTTTTACCAAAACCATATTTTTTTTCCTTAAAACTTACCAAGGGCGTAGATCATCTTGCATGGCCACTATGGTGAGGTGAGGCTGCTACCTCACCTGACTTATAAAAGTTATTATGTCATAAGCCAGTCTTGTTTTTATCATTTATTTTTCTGCAAAATTCTGACCGTACCATCTGTCGCAACAAAAATTCAGAATCAGACCGGGCAAGTCTGCTTCTTCTTCAAGTTATTTTCAGCCAGAGAACTGATGCTCACTGGAACTTTTCTTTTTATCTGACCACACTCTGTAAACCCTAGAGTTAGTTGTGTGGGAAAATCCCAGCAAATCAGCAGTTTAGGTAACAGTCAGATCAACCTGTCTGATACCAACAACCATGCCACATTCAAAGTCACCTAAATCCCCTTTCTTCCTCATTCTGCTTGATTTGAAATTCAGCAGGTCGTCTTGGCCAAATCTAGATCCCTACATGTATTGAGTTTCTGAGCGATTGGATAAATTGGATAAAACCAGATTTCAACCCTTCCAATAGTTGAGACATTTCAGTAAGTTATACGACTTTCATCCACATGAGAGAACAAGATTAAACGTTGGTGAAAAGTGAAAAAGGATTAGTCTTCTGGGCACAATATATGTCTGTAAGAATGTAATACACAAAATTTACAGTTGTTTCTAAATATTTGTGTGAATTTGGTTTGATTTATTCAAACCTATACTTGTGATGTGCTGGCTCACATCCAGGCTTCAAAGAAAGACGGTGAAAGTTGCAAACTCACAGAGCATATCCAATCCCGAAAAGAAAAAAAACTTGAAAGAGATTGCATCAGAGAGGGGAAGTGTGGCTTTGATCTTATTTTTCAGTCATACAAGACATTTCTTATAAGTACAAATGTAATCTGTAAGAAATCAAATTTTATTCTTGTACAGTGTTTAAATTTTAAACTTACAGATTATTAAAATGATGGTTTATCAAAATAGCACTAAGATTAAGTTCAGCACCCTATGTAAGATGTATGGATATCGAAACTAATTTATCTGATAGGTTATTTGTTCTTCATCATTTCCTGACATCACACATGCACACACTGGGGTAAGTTCAGAGCTCTTTAGAGTGCTGTATTAGCTGATTGGTGCAAGCTACTTCTTTTCTTCCTCAAAATCAGAAATCTGTTCATCAGCTGTAAGGTTTCCTGCTGAGACGTATTATCAAATCTCATTTTCACTAGATAAAACAGCCTTCCTGAGCAGTCCATCCTCACAGACTCCTCTTACCTTACTGCTGCCCTAAAGGTTTTTGGTTTTCATATTAATTTACTACTTTACAGCTTCTATTAAAGAGCAGCACGCTTTTTATCAAATCAAAGCTATTATATGTCACATCAATAACTTGTGACTAGAGTGATCGATCATATGTCCCACTTTACGAGGGGCATATGTTGAGACAATGGTCAGCATTTTGATTGGTTCCTTACATCTCATAAATCAACACTGAGTTACACTTTTCAAAGCCTGGCTCTTATCCAATAAGAGAAAGAAGAAGAGGCCGTCTCATTGGGGGCTCCTTATGATGTCAATCATAATCATATAATTGGTTCTTATATAGCACTTTTCTACTCTGCCTGAGCACTCGAAGTTCTTTATACAACTTGCTTCATTCACCCATTTACTTTTTTCTGTGTTTAAGTGCTTTTTATCTAACATTCGCACACATCCACACTCCGATGGGCCCACTGCAGAGGAACTTGGGGTTAATATCTTGCCCAAGGATATTTAGCATGCAGACTGGAGCAGCCAGGGATCAAACCACCAACCTTCTGATTAGTAGGTGACAAACTCTATCTAGTTACCTAGCTACAGTCAGGAGGTATAGCATTTAAACTCTGAACCAAAGAAAATGAATGGAAAGATAAAAATGGCTGAAATAACTAGCATTTACCACACTGTGCAGCAAACCCAATCACAAAGTTCATTAGACTGTTGCAGTAAACTAGCACCAGTCATTTTTTCAGAGTCAGATGAAAATTTCCTGCTTTTCAACCAGGTGCTTTCAGGGTGCTAGGGTGCATGTCCTGTGTGGGCTTGTAAGCTGTTGTTGCCATGATGAACAAACAGAACAGGTGTTTTTGAGTGTTTCTTTTTCTCTGGAAAAGTTTTCATTTGTATTAATGTGATTTTAACTATTTTGTTTAATGTTTTGTCTTGTGAATTTTATGCACCTTATTGAGATTAAGAGGGTGGCCTCTTAATCTCAATAGAGGCCACCCTCTTAATCTCAATAAGGGATTTAAATGCGTACTGACTTTTCAGAATATTGCTGTCCTTCAGTTAACAGGCAGTAGTGGAGCAACTTGTTGATGCAGTTTTTTCTCTGTTTTTTGTATCACAAGAACGACGGACTGTTCTTCTATTAATTTTGACCAAAAGAGGGAATACACAAGTGCAGACAGCCACATGTAAACACTTCAGCTAAATCTGGATCTGTTGCATGATATTTTTAAAAAACAGCTATAACAAAATTTTGCACTAGCACAACATTGTACACTGTGCCCCACATTGTCCCACGGTGATAATCTCTCCTCGTGACTCACATAAAGTGTCCAGTGTCATTGTTCCCTGTCATGGCAGAAGATTTAAGCTTTTCAACCAGAATCCGGATGACGTTGACGAAGATGACTATGTTGATCTGGAAGAGAAACATGCACAGTGGCCTAAATGGCAAAATCAGATACACACTAGTTAAAAGACATTCAGTGTTATCACAGGGGAATGAAAAATTTAAAAATCCTGTATCATCACAGGATAAAGGTGATTACTATTGAACTCGAGACAAAGTGAACCACAATGTGTCACTGCAAACGAGAACATTCACTCCGCTGATGGGCCAAATGTGTCTGAGGCAAGAAAAGTAAATACAGGAAAAAGATACTATGTTCTGGACTAGTTGATTACGTGGAAAATCAATGTGTTTATCATATTTATCACAGTAATATTTCAGGAAAAAAATGTACTCTGAATGTATACAGAACTCTGTTGCATCTCATAATGCAAAACGTAAAGAATTCAGGGAGGCTTTTAGCTCAATCTTGCAGCGTACACCAGGAAATTGGGTCGGCTCGAAGTTGGATCAGATCCTCACTATAAACTAACCACTCTGGAGTTTGTCTGGAAGTGGACCGAGTCCAGAAAAAGTACAGGTGAGTAAACAACCTCGGTTAACTGAAATATTACCATGGCTGCCAGAGATGTTCATTTCTACCAACTCACTGAAGTAAAGTTATCTTAATTAACTAGTTAAACTTGTGCCAGGAACAAATGTGATTTGCAAGAAAACTTCTGTCTCTCAGTATGTTGGCAAATATTTATTAACCTTTAGCTTTGACAAAAGAAAATCTGACATCAAAGGATTTAAAAGACAAAACCACCAATACATGTTTCTTAACAAGCTCCTAAAATTTTAAAACATCGCTGGTATATTATTTAATATTTCATGATCACTGCCCCAAGGGCCACAAACTTGCACTTCCTCTGCCTGAAGAATCCCACTTTAGTGTAAAATTTCCTCATAAAACTTTAATTGTAAATCTGCCACCACAAAACAAAAAACCAGACAGGCAAGTTTATCAGGTACTTGGTGTTTAACTCCTATACTCACCAGCAGTGAGGCTGTTATTGGTCCCTTAATAATCCACCAGATGCCAACATTGTCTGTGTCATCCCAGCAACTGTAAAGCCAAATGTAATGTCAGTGCAATACTAAACCTACAAAAATAGATATAATAGTTCACATGGACTGGCAAGCTGCTTTAAATAAAATGCAGAAATATGAAAGTAACAACAGTAAAAACATACCCTCTGTCATCATAGAAGAATCTGGTCAAAACCCACAGTATGAGAACTGTAGATGGGAGCCCTAAAACGTAAGGGCAGGAATTAATTATGCATGCTCTGTTTACCTGTCAAGTAAAATCAATCCGAACATTGCTCCAGACCAAACGCATCTGTTTGCTGCATATTTCTTTGTTGACAAGCATAGAAAATATTAAGTTGACTCTGTGTAAAAAAAATTTCCATGCTACTTGCATCTGTTTCATGCCCAAAAAAAAAGGAGTACAGAGAGAATAAAAGCAGGAGACACGAGAGAGCAGGATAGTAAAGCCAGAAAGAAGCTGATAAGACGCATCAGAGCCACCGTGGTTACAGTCTGAGCACCACTCGTGTGCACACACGTAAACACACCTCAGGTGCTTTGTGTAAAAACATTCAGGACAAAAATATTTACATATCTTCACATATTCATCTGTGTAGTTTCATATTTTTTTAAGCATTATTATGGCTGTTATTGTTGTAACTTTGTATAGGGAATATCACAAGCAATCTATCACCAACCCAACATCTGTTGTCCAGGTATAAAATATGATAATTTGGGGGAACAGCCGAATTTATTAAGTAATCATCCTTTTATCAACAGCTGAAACTGCTGTGCATTAATTCTTGGGTGAAAATAAGGCGAATAAGGAAATCCTGGGTTTTCAGTAATAGCGGTTCTGTTTTTTCTTTTTCTTACCAGGTTATATCGCCATGGTAACTTGTGGGTCATGTTCAACATTAGACAGGTGAAATCACTGCCTATAGATTAATCGACTATGCAGAAGACTGTGTAAACATTCCCAGAACATGATAGTAAAATGATCTAAAGTCTTTGTGTTTCCTAAATCAACTGGCACGTTCAGGTATGGATACAGATCAGTGTCAGAATTATTTGAACTACCTTACGAGTCAAAATATGAGCAATAGTGCTCATTACTTTCTTTTTTCTGGGGGGAGTTTAACACTTGCTGTGACAAGTCGTCAGGGTTTCTTACAACAAAACTGGGATTTCATTTGACAAAATGCAATCTTGGAACCACTGATGATCATCTGACAACGATTTAGCTCTTGAGATCTTTGGAATCATTTACATTCGCAACTAATGTTTGGTGCACACAAGCTAAATGATTGAGCTAATAGGCTAGCCACTGGGTTCTCTGATGAGCTCCGCTCATCTTTATGGGGAAATTATGGTTCACCAATGGCAGTGTGGGCAGCCTGTGATCAGATTAGGTTGCTGTGGGTCCATCAGGTGCAGAGAATAGTAAACTTCTAGCACACGAAGATGATTTGGGGAAATTTGTGGAA